GCACACAAGTCAATTGGACGACGTTTATAATACTTTCATGGTGCCCTTTTAAAGCTTGACAGCTTCAGTTCCCGTTCATGGTAATTGCATGGAAAAACATAGGGAACTGCCTTCAAAATCTTTCATTTTATGTTAAGCAGAATAAAGTAAATCATGTGGGTTTTGAAGGACATGAGGAAGAGTAAATTTTGACAGCTTTTACATTCTTCGCTGAGCTATGCCTTTAAGTAGAAAGTGTATATGTAAAGTACATATGTAAACGACTCAGTAAAGAGTGTTGGTTGGTATTTCATAGAGAGTGCAGAGGGAAATTTACCCATCAAGCATTGCACATGAAATTTAGCTCAAATAAATGTGGTGAGAGTGAGTGATGGGTCCGGATTTTTATTCAGCTTAATTATTTCCAGGTGTGCTTTTTGCAGTTGTTCACAGGTGTAAAACCAGGGCCAAAATTTAATGCTTCCCAAGTGCCAAATGTGAGTAAAAATCAGTGTTGACTAGTAGAGATGAAACAGTTACATGACAGTTGCCCAGTAACTAATGATAATAATAATTTTGATTTCTATAATACTACTATCACTACTACTACTACTACTAATTCCAATTAAATGTGTTTCCCCAGTGTGTCCTGCCTGTTTTTATTCAAATAATGCACATGCAGTTTCATGGCTAGTAAAAAAAAATATTTATGGATGGTAAATTTTCTCAAGTCTGAAGCCATTGGCAGGTGTGGCAAAATGTTAGTTTAATGCCCTGTAAAAACAGTGGCATCAATGAAAAAGACACATACAGTTTATTATATATTCACCATGATGCTGCAGGGCATTCCAAATTAACTATTTATTTTTAACATTTCAGCTTCTACAGAAGTCCTTGTTCAGAGTGTAGGCAGCAGTGAACACTGCATTGGCTGTGTGCAGAACTGCTAAGGTGGAAAGTCTAAGGAGAAAGCTTTCTACTACAGTATGTTTTCTCCATTCAAAAGTCTGGCTTGTTCACTTTGTTTTGATGACTCTTCAGAATTGCTTACTCCTACAAAAGAAAAAGGGAAGAGAGCGAAAATCGCGACCCTGACTGCAGTACATGAATGAATGGACTCGTTTCTGAGTAGTAAAATGCATTGCTGCAGCGTGAGCTCTATTCCTCCCCCACCAGTCATTACTCTCCCATGTGTTTGAGTAGATCGGGTTGTTGGACATCACTGGTACTGCAGTGTGTTGACAAAACACATGGGTCATTCCCCAGACATTGCAAGAAATGTCTCTCTTTGCGATAAACCAGCTGTTCCTATTTGTTTGGGGGGGGGGGGTTAACAGCTCTGCAGTCTGATGAGAAATCCGCAGGTCTAGCAAATGAAGTGTCTCCCTGATCGTTGCGCTGATCTGCTCTAAGAGGCTATGATGTAGGGGTGAGAGCATGAGCGAGGAACTCCGACAGCAGCTGAATCCTTCAAGCAAAACCGTACCATTGAAACACTAATTAGTATTGATACAAGTGCACGCCTGTGGTGTCTTACTCTTGGGAAAGAGATCACCTTTCACTGTGAAAAGAGGCTGATGTTGACAAATTATACAGTAGCATTTTTGCAGTCCAATTAAAGCAGTCTGACAGCCACACTATAATGTAAAAACTTGATGCCCGCATTCTCCACCATTAAAATATCTTGTGCCAGAATTATGTTCTGTTAACAATTCTCATGCATGCATTGATCCATTCATTCAGACAGCACACCGTATAAGAATACTCGACTGATTACCACTATTGAGTCATGCTGAAAGTATGATTCCCGAACAAATGATTCAGTCGGTTCTTTTTAGTGAGTCAAAAAACTTAGAGCGCAGTACTGTAAGTCACCCGAGTGTTTGACTCTTATGAGTCAGTTCTCAGTGTAGTCTGATTCTTTAACAAATTACTCATATGAATTGGTTATTTTTAGAGAAAAACAAATCCCCAGCACTGATTCACAAATGAATGACTCTTGTGATTCGGTTCTTTTTATTGAATGTATTAAATATGTAGGTGCACAGCACTCAAATGTGTTGTACTTAAGGCTCATAAAACTCAGTGCATTATGCATTACAATTTTTGTTATTAGTATTTTATAAAACTAAATTAATTAAATGTTACCATTGCTTAGAATTATTTATCATCTTTGTCTCTTTTTAGTTTTATCCACTTCCTATTTATTATTAGGGTGCATTTATTTGTATGCATGTATGCTGTTAAAAGTCAATAAAATAAATGCATAATTTACACAATTTATAGTGCATAATTTATATTGTTTTACATTTATTTATTATGCATTTCCCCCAAACATTTCTTACTCAAAAGAATTTATGGAATCATTGAAAAAACTGTTGAGGAACCAAAACCAGAATCATTGAATATAAGCATCTCTCTCTCTCTCTGTTGTGTCCCCTGTCTGGCTTGCAACCAGACTCCAAAACCACAAAAAGCATGCTACTCTAAATGCTTGTTACATCTTCTGAATAGCAAGATAAGCATGAGGGAACAGACTCTGATGGTTGCACACCGGTGAGGTGAGCCGAGCCAAGCCAAGCCAGAGCAAAGTCATATGGAGTTGCACAGGGACCGTTTTGTCATAAAATGTGGAAATGGCAGAGGAGGGGACATTGTGGAGGCCTGCCGTCTGTCTGTGATGTATTCTCCATGTGCATCTCGGATGCGGGTCACGTCAGTGTGCCCTTTCACTGCAGACCTGTCAGTCAACACTGTATTCCTGAGTGGATGGCGGCTCTGACGTGCCATCTGCGCGCAAGCAGGGCCGTGCAAATAGGGATGAGTGATGTCACTGCAGTAGAGTAGAATTAGACAAATAAGAATGAGGGTCAAACAAAGGACTCAAATCTCCAGTGAGGCCGGCCTCCAATTCCTGTAAAATGTTCACTACTGTTGTTGACAAACTGATTTTAGCTGTTTTGCAACAGGGATTCTTTCTAGGATGCACTAATTAATCAGAGATCAGCTGTTGCCCAATACAGCGCCAGGTTTTGTGTGTTTAGCTCTACACGGCGCTGATTATCTAATTTCCCCACCGTGAGGGTTATTTTCTCTGCGCTGAAAATGTGTGTAGCCATTACAAGGCATGGAAGGGAAATATGTACCAGCATTTGTGGTAATTTGCTCCCGGAGTTCATCAGTTCACCTGATTACTCTACATTGATTTACTCTCCTAGCTGATCAATACCTATTTTAAGGTCTCCTTCGGAAAAACCAGTGGGGGATTTGTAAAATATCCCCCTAAATAGGCTGTACTTTCTCTTTCTGGTTTTCACTCTCTTTCTTTTACACACTCTATATTTCAGAGGAGAATCCGCCATTATTTGTCTGAAAGTTATTTAACTGTTATTCTAAACTTAAATTAGGGAGTGCACATGGCTAGCATGACTTGCAGATGGGCTGTTGGGCGTTTTTCACTGTCATTAGGCACCTTATGTAAGCGATTAGCATAGGTGAAGCTGTGTGACATTACACACAGGAGCACAGGTGCAGTGTGGGAGTGACCAAGATCTGGAGCTGAATCATTGCTTAATGCACCATGACATAACATCTGGAAGTTAAACTAACCAAAATCCAGTTTTCCATAACAAAGAGAGTTTGTTAATGGAAACAAAACATAGGTACAGTAAGCCTACAGCCCTGCTCCAAAATCAAGGGCATGTAGGGATCCTGATAAGGCACCATCAACATTTAGTTTTACATTATTTTTAAATTGAATTGTATTTTTAAAAATCATTTATATTTTATTTTATTTGTCAAGAGTTGATAAACTCCAGCTATTGCCACTCTTCTAAATGCAGAAAAGTTTCAATAAAATAGTTAAAATTTTAATGAAAATTGACTATTTCCAATTCTGGTATATTTGTGTGTCTCTATTTTTATGCTCGTCATACTGTCAGCTTAGCGACATGCTAACAGCAGACTCGAGGCTATTTGTTTAACACAGAGTTGCTGCCCTAACTATACCTTTCCAAATCGGTTACTTATGAGGTTCCATTTCAGTTTGGATGCTGTAAACAGCAAGACAGCTCAGAAGGTTTTGAAACCGGGCCTACGCTACAGCAGTACTTTCTATTCAGGCCCTATCTGCTCAGTGTCCGGCTCGATAGATTTGACAGGTGAACACTAAATGTGTCAGAATGGAGATAGTGTGCTTTCGGAGGCAGCGAGGAGCATGCAGAGGTGCTCACCCAGGTTGGCGTTTCTTCTGTGTGTATGAGGGAGAGTTTGACTGGATGACGGAGACAGCAGCAGCAGCTTTCATGGCGTGATGGTGCTGATGCAGTTAGTCTTTTGGGAGCAGGGAACAGCTGAGACTGCCAGTCTGTTTTATGCTCAAATTAAACTCAATCCGCACACTCAGAAAGTACATCCCCCCTGTGAGCTTTGATTTAATCCTTCAAGTAACCATCGAAGATGTTCCCCCAAAGGTGTCCGTGTGTGTACGACTTGTTCCATCTCGAAGTCATGTCATGTCATATTTAAAATGACACTCTATTTAATGTGAGAACCTGAGCAGTCAGGTTTAGTTTTTCTGTTTGCCCATTAGAAAATCAGACAGGCATGGTTGAACCGCTTTTCCCGTGGCGATTGACACGATAAATATGTTTGCTCACCTAATTGAGAGAGGGTGAGACATTAGCTGATCAGATTTACTCTGATTTTGAATGTGCCTTGTCTGCTCGTGTGACTCTGTAAACAGTGGTAATCCTAAACCAAACCATTCAATATTCCTATAGGGTACAATAAATCCATGTAATGACGTTTATCCATCTGAATGGGATAAGGGTAATGTATCAAGGCTTAGAGTGGTAAATCCCAAGGTTCATTGAATGAGCATTCATTAAAGGTGCACTCAGTAGTTTTCCCTGCTCATTAAAAGTAAAATATGTTTAAAATCATAGCGTGGTTATTTGCTATACAGTAAGTAATAGCAATTAGGTTATGTTATTATTTTGTGTTATTTATCTCTATTTCAGGTTTGCAGTCGAAGCTGAGGATGGCAGGAGATTCTCGTGTTCACATGGACCACGACATGGAGATAGGAGTGACTCCAAGAGAGGTCAGTATTCCCCACTATCACTTTCAACTTCAGTAATGTTAAATGAATATTTACCGTAACCATGGAATAGACCACCTAAACTTGAGAATTTAGAATATACAATAAAAATGAGAAATGTATTTTATTGTGTTTATTTCATGTTTTTAATATCTTGTAATCATTAATCCATCAAAACAGCAGTTCAATACAGTGGCCTTCAAATAAATCATAATGTGGGAGGTTAAAACTAAAGGAACCCTAACCCTAAACCAATAGGTGATGATGTGAAGTGCTTATTTAACTGAAATTTAGACAATAATTGTAACTTTAAATACCATTTTTTTAATCAAACATTTCTACTTACTGTGTTCTACTTACATCCTCATTGACAGCCAGGACATTGTATAGTGATCAATATATTATGTAAGGATGGTTTTCCTACGGTGGTTCAGGCTGTAGGATTGCCGAATGACTAAAGAAACGTTATCAGCACGATGGTATAAAATTGTACATTTCTAGTCTATTACCACCCACTGCCACTTATACCAACGACGGAAATAAGCGCAGTTAGAATAGCTACATATGTGGGAGAGCGTTGCTATTGTGTGACTATTGTATTGCAATAGGTAACACTTTAAGATGAACCTTGAATCAAGACTAGTTAGCACATAATTAATAATTGAAATGGTTTAATAACAATATTTTGTTATGGTTACACTTGAATTGGTTACAAAATAGATGAAGGATGGTAAAGCATAGTTAATTGTACCCAACATGTAAAATATTACCTGAGAGAAAGAGATAGAGAGAGGAAGAAAAAGAGGGAGAGAGGGCAGAGACCCAAGAAGAGAGCCAGCCAAGAAAAGAGGCAGCAAAGAGCCAGCCAAGGAAAGAGACAGAGCAACAGTTACAGTCCTCTTTTATCCCTTCCTTGACCATGTGACTAAAAACCAAATGTGAGACATTCAAACTGACCAATCAGCAGATTATAACTTCACCCACTGGGCAAAAGGTGTGACAATTAGCAGACCCCCGGTGTATACACATGTTGGCCTACAGGCTTTGATCACTATCAGCACCTCTGTGCCTTCAGGAATGCCAAATGGCCCTTTTGTTACTGAAGATAGGTTTGGGACAGGAAAGCAGAAGTCTTTGATCATTTTTGACCTTACAATTATGTTAGGCTCATTATATAAAATAACTGATGACACAATGCTCAGTCAAGTATTTCAGGGAGCTGTGCAATAACTAAATACTATACTTATATATTTATAAATGTGAATATGTTATGTATAATTTATTTAAATGTATAAATTGAAATAATTTATTTAAACATATTTAATATATGCTAAATGCATATTTTGACATTTTTATATTTATGACTTGAATGATGTGGAATACTGAATATAATAGCTAACTTGAAGTAAAAAATTTGGAGGCATACCAAATACTGGAAATTGGCTGTAGATGAGGATATTTGTTTGCAATGTTTACAAAAAGTATTGGTTTTTATTTTTTGCACATTATTTGGCTTTAACTGACAGAAAATAGGGGGCCTCAGGTGTGTACGCAGCAGGAGGTCTCCTTGTGCTCAAGTTTCTCATAAGCACTTTAAGGCTTGCCTATAATTGACTGCCACCACTTTAACACAATACCACGTTTCAATTAACAACCAAGCACAATCTTCCACAAATGGAAAGATAACGTGCCAATGTGTTCTTGTCTCATGTGGAGGACACTGTGTTATGGACTTGGGAGGGGGCAAAGATTCTTATCTGGGCTTGCCAGTGTCCCATGGGGAAGAGGAAGGTAATGGGGGAAGTGTCCCATGGAGCTGGTGTAGAACAAGGAATCAGAAATGGACTAGGGCCAAGATAGAGAGTAATTGGAGGGAAAAAACAGCAATTGAAAAAAGAAAAAGCCCCCAGTACTCTTACGTTGCAGTAATCTGCATGTTCTGTACGTGCTGAGACGTACTGTGACAATGTCATAACAGTAGCGAAGATATCAGAGCACTTCCATTGTTAGAAGGGAACAGTGTGAACGTACCTCTGCTTGATGTTGGCAACTGTGCCATCCACACTGTCATTGTCTGGCTTGCAGCAGCTTAGTGAAGAGATAGAAGAGGCAGATGGGAGCTATTGATCTGGCTTGCAAAATATGTTGAATGATTCTGATGGGATTAGATTGCAAATTAGAATTTGTTACTTATCTCTCTACCTCCTTATAGCAGGTGAAGAAACTCCCCAAGCACCTGAGGGAAGCACAGATCCCCACAGATCGCACCCACCTCATCTCTGATCCTGTTAAGAAACCCCGCCAGCGCTACGTACAGAAAGACGGCAAGTGCAATGTTCATCACGGAAACGTTCAAGAGACCTATCGTTATCTCAGCGACCTCTTTACAACACTGGTCGACTTACGTTGGCGCCTCAGTTTCTTCATTTTCACCTTGGTCTACGTTGTCAACTGGCTCTTCTTTGGGTTTTTGTGGTGGCTTATTGCACTAATACGAGGAGATCTTCTACACGCAGATGAAGAGGGCTGGACCCCTTGTGTTGAAAACCTCAACAGCTTTGTCTCTGCTTTTCTCTTTTCCATCGAAACCGAGACCACCATTGGCTACGGCTATCGTGTCATCACGGAGAAGTGCCCAGAAGGGATTATACTTCTACTGGTGCAGGCCATCTTGGGGTCCATTGTCAATGCCATGATGGTGGGCTGCATGTTCGTAAAGATCTCGCAGCCCAAGAACCGAGCAGAGACGCTGATGTTCTCCCACAAGGCCGTGATCTCGGTGAGGGACAGCAAGATGTGTCTGATGTTCAGAGTGGGTGACCTGCGGAATTCGCACATTGTGGAAGCGTCAATCCGTGCCAAGCTCATTCGTTCACAGCAGACGAAGGAGGGCGAGTTCATACCGCTCAACCAGACGGACATCAACATTGGCTTTGACACAGGAGACGATCGCCTCTTCCTGGTATCGCCTCTCATTATCTCCCACGAGATCAATGAGAAGAGTCCTTTCTGGGAGATGTCTCGGGCACAGATGGAGAAGGAAGAGTTTGAGATTGTCGTCATCTTGGAGGGCATGGTCGAAGCTACAGGTATGTTCTCCTTGACATTAAGCAATTCAGTTGTTGACCTAAAAAGTGTCATAGTCTCCATGAATCAGAAATGACAGTTTGAAGCTTTGCATTAACCCTAGAAACTATCAGTCTTTCGCAATGGCTTCAAGGAGCAAGTTGCGCATTAACTCCCAAGCTCTGTAGAGCAGTTGACCTCAATGAATTTTCCATGATTTTTTTGCAGTAAGCGAGCGACTTAGAGGTCAGTCATTTAAATATACAAAACTGCAACACATTATTCATTTGCTGACAGTGCTGAGTCATAACTTCCCTAAGCATGCTGACTACACAAAATAACATTCAAGAACTGACAAGAAGATAAATGTTTCAATATTGATGCTAAGGCTATATTTCCAACACATGAGTCAAGGTGGGTTTGAGAGCCTCTTGTTGTCTGGCTAGCCATGTCCTTGCAAACCCATCCAGGCCGGAGTTGTGGAAAGAGGTGAAAGGTGATAAAAGTACTCTGGGTATGTTCCACTCTGCTGGAGGGGATCCTTTGGAAAGCTTATTGGAGCAAAAAAGTTTATTTTTCCACTCTTCATTTAAATTAACATTGTTCCAGTTCTCAGGTCAGTGAAACTCAATAACGGTCAGGCAGTTCAATGAGAAAACTGCTTTTAAAATGTCTTTGAGAGCACAGTTTTGGTATTATACCTCAAGACATTTGGACTAATACACAATCCATACAACAGAGAGCCCAGGGTGTTGTGGCATTCAAATTGATTATTAATAATGTCGTTGATGTTGATTTACTGTAACAGTTTGTTCAATCTGCATCTAATTTTTAGTCCATTACCTTAAAAATTAGTCATAGTCTGCTTAACAATCAAATGCAAATACATTTAAGCACAAATGTATGTCTGTACAAAGTTAACTGATACTAGTGTGATACCTGTGCTTCAGCAGAAAATATGCCATCTGAATATATGAAAGTGAATGGATTATCTAGATATATTATTCTCGGCTACTGTTTGGTTGACCTTGCACTGTGTGCGATATTGATTTGAGTAGATCTCCTTATTCTCAGGGCTGTTGAGGGAATAAAGAGGCCTTCATAGTCTAAAGTGTCTACACTAATTGCAGATTCATTCCCAGGCTGAAACATTTCCCATGGTTTATCAGATATCTCAGGTGAATGTTTGCAATTCAGATTATTTATTGGGCATTTGTCCAAAGAGAACTTGCACTGCTAATCCATAGTCTGCTTAACAATCAAATGCAAATACATTTAAGCACAAATGTATGTCTGTACAAAGTTAACCGATACTAGTGTGATACCTGTGCTTCAGCAGAAAATATGCCATCTGAATATATGAAAGTGAATGGATTATCTAGATATATTATTCTCGGCTACTGTTTGGTTGACCTTGCAGCACACTGTGTGCGATATTGATTTGAGTAGATCTCCTTATTCTCAGGGCTGTTGAGGGAATAAAGAGGCCTTCATAGTCTAAAGTGTCTACACTAATTGCAGATTCATTCCCAGGCTGAAACATTTCCCATGGTTTATCAGATATCTCAGGTGAATGTTTGCAATTCAGATTATTTATTGGGCATTTGTCCAAAGAGAACTTGCACTGCTAATCTAAATCCAATTCATTACACATGCTTCCCTGTGAAGGCATCCTGTTTTGTGCTTGTTTTGCAGTGAATACCAATGAGGACTCAACAAAGAAAAGTTGAAAAGCATTATGATGAAATTTACCTTCACATATAATGCAAAAAAAATGCACATTCAGAGGTTTTTGTACCACAAACATGCAACTGTTACTGACTGAAACATCCAAGGACCTAATGGAGAGAATTTTATCTTACACTAAGCTTGCTCTGTGCCCTAGATGCCATATGACATATCAGCAGTCTCCTCAACCTTCCTATCACTTTGAAATGTTTTCCAGTTTCCACTGAGGAGAAATGCATATGCAAGCACATGTCAATAACTATGGGCTATGATGCATTTGATCTACTAAAGCCTTGTAAATTATGCCTTTGACAGATGACCAGGTATAGATTAGGGTGCTACAGGCCAGGATAAACCTACAAATAGGCTCGCCGGCCTCTCTCAGATCGAAGTCTACTCCCACTTGCTAATGAGGGATGATGGCTTCCTTTTGATGTGCAGTAGAGCGCTAATGACGTCGTGAGTGCAGTAAGGTCACAAACAACCTGATGTCTGATTTGTCTGAGTATAGCAATATTTTAATTTAGCCCTGGCATGTGTCAGGTATGATGGATAGCCACATTTGGTCTAGTCTATTATTTTTCCAGTACTGAGGGTCAGGAGTTCTATAGTAAGTCTCTTGAGTACGACTTGCAATTTGCATGAACGTCATGAAACTATGATGATGGTTAATCAGATGTAATTTGCATCATTTAATTGTTGCAACATAAGTGGTTTTCATTTTTAAAATGCCTGATCTTGAGTGATATAATCACGAACAACAGCTTTTCCCTAATGAAAAGTTCATCCCACTGCAGAACATATGCAAACATATTTGATCCACTATGTTCCAAAAGCTAGTGAACTGACTACATAGGCAGAATTGTAAAGCAGGCACTTCTGAAGCAAAGGTGCTTTGATTATGCTACCTTCTAAAATGCCTTCTTTGGAAGCATGGGAGTCAAATTGCTGAGAAGGCAAATGCATTGCAATGAAATGCTGATTGTAAAAATAACTCTTCAGAAAGATGCAAATACTTTTCGGACCGTTTTACTACATATCAAACACTTTTAAAATAGATTATCAGTCAAGTCTCAAAGTGAATCTGAACTACGTCTATAAAGCACAGATTTGCTTACAGATTGGTTATTCCAAACTAGCTATATAATGCAGTACAGTTAACACTGAAAGTTTAGAAGCAGTTTGCAAATGTCTAACAATATGGATTTAAAATCAATTGGTGTTAGTGATCAAAGATCTGCACCCCTATTAGAGAAAAATAACCTGTCATTAAATGCTTGTCTCCCCGTCAACATGATGAATGCTTGAAACACAGCAGCCCATTGAGTGCTCATAACTAACGGCATCTACTAAATATGTCCGGTGGCATTAAGATAGGCTTATCTGTGTTTTTAAGTAGCGTCCATTAACTTTCCATTCATTTTGCTATTAATGAGTCTCAAACCCATAGATAAGAACTTGCTTCAAATTAATGTTCTATAACTAATATAGATTTTTAAAGGCCAACTTTATGAGGTGGTCTGTTGATTAAGAGAGAAACTGTGGAGGCAGTTTGAAGGTAATTAATGTGTGCTTGAGCAGTTTAAATTTTAACACTGAATATTAGTGCTGGATTTTTGTTTAAAGCTCAAACAAACCTGTAGAGAATTCTGGCATCCTATGAAGGCAGTGATTTTCAGTTCTACTTCTAGTTTGCCGCACTAGTATCATTAGATAACTGCTTGTTCAGTAATAATATAATTAGTGGATTTAAACTTTTTTTTACAGATTTGTTTTATTACCCAGGCGTATTACATTATATTTGTTATAAAATGGCTCTTTTATGTGTGCTAATCCATGCACAGTGAGACAAAGATTTCAACACATATATAATGCATAATGTAGTATGTTAAACCTAAATTATGAAACTGACAATGACAAGGAGAATCGAGTAAGGTTTTCCTGCATGGGAACACAGCAGTTCCCATAATGGTGCTTCTTATCCTAGGAGAAATGATAGTACTCATATGTGTCAGCAGATTTCAGTGTCACCGTTGTTCTCCAGAAATAGACTTCGGAACCCCTGGCCTTGAGGTGTTGTGCCCTTATTTATAGATTTGAAAAGCATCAGTGCATGAAACCGGCCATTGCTAGGTTATTGAGATCAACATACCCTCTCCATGTCTTTCTCTTTCACACACACACACACACAGAGAGAGAGAGAGAGAGAGAGAGAGAGAGAGAGAGAGAGAGTATAATGCAATGCTAAACGTGTTACACTGTTACACTCACACCGTTTCTGCTCTAAAACATGACACAAAAGCAGAGGGAGTCAGAGAGACTCTGAGAGCACTGAGTTCATTTCAGTTTCAATCAATGCTACAGTGTAGATCAGTGGTTTTCAATTGGTTTTGCTTCAGGATCCATTTTCACATAGAGAGAGAGTATAATGCAATGCTAAACGTGTTACACTCAAACCCACACACCGTTTCTGCTCTAAAACATGACACAAAAGCAGAGGGAGTCAGAGAGACTCTGAGAGCACTGAGTTCATTTCAGTTTCAATCAATGCTACAGTGTAGATCAGTGGTTTTCAATTGGTTTTGCTTCAGGATCCATTTTCACATCAAGGGGTGAACCAATACTGTACCAAGTTTGTTTACACAAAAGTAAGCAAAATGTACTTGTAGTCAACATTTTTTTTTTTTACTATAAGTACATTTTAGCTAACTTTGTGAATTAATATATATATATATATAAGCTTATACAATTTCTGTATTAAAAGAGAGAGACTTGACTGAGCGAGTGTGATTACCTCCATCTGATACAGCATTAATTCTTCAGCTCAATCTCATATTCACACTAAAACATTAGTCTGAATGTCCGCTGAGGAAAGCGATATCTTTGTCGTACAATACTTGTATCTGTTAAGGGTGATTTCCAATGTCAGCGCTTATCAGTGCATTTGTTGACTGTGTCTTACAAGTCGTTGTTTAAAGTAAAATTAACATACTTGTTTCCAACAGTGTTTCAGTCTCTTTCAATATAAAATTCTTTACTGCTGACTCTCTTATAAAAACAGTCTCTTGTCGTCATCTAATGTTGGAACAATGTAACTAAAATCACCATAACGAACACACACCATTTCTCAATACTAAACACTATTATTAAATAGTACAATTGTTTGTATAACTAGTATTTATTGGATAATAATATTTTATAAACAACAACAGCCATCATAAAAGTTGCTGAGTAATTCGGTCAAAAGTACAAAGGCAGCGCGAGATCAACGAGACCAAAGACTGTCCATTAAATTCACCCAAAACGAATCAGAGCCACTGGCAAATTCCATCTGGCTGAGGTGAGGCTGCTCTCGGTGGGTTTATAAGCACTGAATGGCTGCTGACGCCCTGGAGCTCACATCCCCGAAAACATCAAACCAATTTTCAAATAGACGTTATCTTTATTAACCGTATATACAAACTGTATATTTGAAGTCTAAACAATTAATTGCCCCCTAAAAAACTCTTAAAATGACATTCCGAGACACAAAAGCATACAATTATCGTGGATTTGGGCATCCGCCATGACACTCGCTGTGAGAAATCCTGCAAGCGGAGTGATACAATGATTATTATGATGATGATGTGATTACCTAGGGCCGAATCACAGCTGTGCTGATATACAGCCATATCGCACTGCTACTTGTGTGATATTGCTCAACCTGTCCATATTACCATCTGCCTTATTGCTTTAGTTTCTATAAAGTTACAGATGAATTTGCACCACAATAGCATAGCGTGTGACTGGACGCATGACCTTTGACATCAACAATAAATAATCTGTTAAGAGTCTCCTACTTTTTAAAAGCATTTTTTAAGACTATTTTTTATTTTGCTACCAACGCATAATTACTGTATATTATGAACTGCAGAAACGTTTAGTAATTAGCATTTACTTTGGGTCGTGACGCACCCGTTGAGAAGCACTGATGTAGATTGTGATGCTGTTGGCTTTAAATGCTGGAATGGTGTAATTCTCCATAATCTGTAATTACAGTTTTATCTATAATATACAGTATGGCATCACTGACTATTATACCTATAAGTATGAGGTTTTAGTCTCGTATTATTCTTCGTGTTTTGCTAAAACATAAATGTAGTGATTAATAACGAGGACTTTTCCGTAATTACAGGTCTGCACTAAAATTACTGCATGCTTTTGAGTTTCCATGATCCCTTTCAGGGCAAAACACAAATTGCTGTTACAAAGTAGACACAAGACATGCATACAAATTTGGGGAATTTCCTTTCATCCTCTAGCTGTTTCAGAGGATGTGTATAATTTGCTCACGTGAAAAGATAGTGATCATCTTGAGGTTATTTATTTATTTATCACATCCTGTGTATGAAAAATTAACATGAGGGATATGGAATTGGGCAGCACACAGCACATTAACTCAGGTTTACATGACAACTTGAAGTCATGGGGCAACAATTCTGTATCACACTGTGTTCAAATTATAGAGTAGCTGTAACTGAAAACACGCATAGTTACACACCGCACCGAATAGAAAATGAAATATGCTGTTTGATCATTGTAATCCCTTTGGCATCCAGCTCATGCTACATAATGTCACACACCCAAAACCACTCAGAAAAGGAAATGTAAAACATTCAGCCTTACAAACAAATTCATCTCCCTTTGGCACAAACTCACAATTAGTTAAGAGTCTGAAAACTGTAAGCAGACACAACAACCAATGCGGAAAATGA